AATATTTGTAATAATCGACTTGGCTTTAAAGAACGCAAAATGTTAAAACAATTTCTTTACGAAAATAATACATTAATTTCATTAAATATTTGAAATTTTTAAAATTTTAGAATTTGTATTTAATCATAAAATTAGATCTTATATTAAATTATTATATATACAAGTTTATAAATTGGAATTTAAATAACATTAAGAAATACTTTTATTTTGCCCAATGTATTATTTAAGTCCGGTTGATCTTACTAAACTAAAGCTTATTTCTTTCAATATTGTACTATGAATACAATAAAATTTTATTTTAATGTCTTTATTAAGAGGATGAATGTTTTGGTTGTTTCAATAATAGATAAAATCTAAGTAATATCAAGAAAAGAACAATCATATAGATGGTGACAATTAATCCACAACCAGGTATGAATTTGTTGGTTCATCATAAGATTTAAATTTTATAAAAGAACTTTTAAATTTGCTATTATATTATTACTATTACTCACTTTACAATTACAAACGCTAACTTCTTTATTTTTTATTGATTAATATATTTATACCTTGATACTGTAAGTATAAATTATGCACTATTGATATTTTGCAGGCATTAGCAAGGTTATTTTTATTTGACTCAGGCTGTATCTTGTGATCCCTTGATTCAAATCGGATGATTTTGGTACCAATTAATTGGTACCTAAATCATCCGATTTGGATCACTGGATTACAATATACAGCAAACGATCATATTGTCCTCAACATGGAATCGGAACCGAAAGAAATGATTATAAAGTAACTGCTTATCAAAAGCCCGGAAATTTGGGTGGTGCTGATGAAGCGTATAACATTGGTTATTATTGTGATAGAATTGGTGTAGAAAAGGATGAACATAATGCGTTTATTAACTATCAAAGAAACACCAGGATGAGACTTACTGAGGGAACACTTAACGCTGGTCATCATTATCAGGGAATTGGAGTCGGAAAGAATAAAATAAAGGACGGGAAAATTGAAGATAAATATGGTGTGATCTATGATGTAACAAGTGCATATTTTAGTGATAATGAAGACTCCAAATGTGAATTTAATGAAGGATACCGTAACGTACCTGATGTTGAAGAGAAGAGTCTTTTGAATGAACAACCGTCAGTTGGATGAGTCGAAGACTAATATCGATTAAATGATGGCCGTGAAAAATGATATTGAGCGCGATGGTACTGTAAAGGATAAATGTAAAGTGCCCGTTAGCCGTCAAACATCTACAAAAATGAATCATAAACTTGACGAATTGAATCAAAATGGGATTGTTGAAAAAGATGAATGTAAAGCATCCAATGATTATCGAAAACCGGCAGAAATTGGTTATATTAATGGTACATATCATCTTGGACATTACTTTAAAAATGTGAATGTTGTTGAAATTAACAGGCGTGTGTCATGGGGAGTGCATTTCATTGTTTCTTTGTGTTGTTTTAC